ATGTAAACGTTTTTTGTAATGCTGTCATGAAATTTTCATTTTTCGACTTTAAAATGCACAAAAAAGTATGGATAATTGAGGCAAATTACTTTCATTTTTTTCTTTTCAATTTTTCAGTATTAATTTTATTATATAAAAAAAAATAATCTTGGTGGAACTTTTTTTTATCAAGGAATTTTTTTTATACATGAATGCTTAAAAATACACTAAACTCCTATTCTTTTTAAAAAAATAATTTTAAATAAAATTAATGCATTTTAAAATTTAAACCCGCAGTAACCCTCAAAGTACCTGCTTATGTTAATTTCTTTAAAATAATGGTCGTCCACAGATTTTCATTAAATTAAAAAAAAAGATTTTCATTAAATTAAAAAAAAAGGTTTGATAATGTCCAATTAATTTTGTGTTCATTTATTTATTTATTTTAAATATTAAAATAAATAACATAAAAAATTAGGAAAATTTAAACTGAATAAAAGAAGAAAACTGTTTTATGAAATGCAATGAAAAATGAAAATGCTTTTGTTTCTTTTTACTTGCCTCCATTGTGACGGGTTGGCATTTGATTTACATTACAATTCAATGATAGAAAATAAAAATGTGCAAATGCGTTTGATGACAAATGATTTGAAATTGAACTGTTCCTTCTATAGAAAAAAACAGCGATGTATTTTGGTCTTCGTATTCACCATAAAAATAAACAACTTTAATTTCATTTTCAAAAAGCAGTCTAGTATTTTAATTTAAAATGATTTTAAAATATGACCTTTTAAAATGATTTCAAATTATAAAATATCCTGTAAATAACTCATTTTATTTAAAAAAATATTACTGTTGAGACAGAAACAACAGCATAAAGTATTACAGTGGCATAACTTGCTGTGCTACAATAATTAGGTCAAAAACAAAAATTTATCAAAAATTTATTACTATATCCCTAAGTAAAGTAGTTTAAAAAAAAAAAGTTTTTGTAAAAAAAAAAAAAAACTTTATTTAATAGAAAAAATTTTGTTTCTTCTATTTTTCATCAAGTTTGTTTTTTTTTACAGGAGGAAAAAAGACCAATAGGAACATCTTTACTGTCAAAACTAGTTAAAGGCAATATGAAAGTTAAAGTAAAAAATATTAAAAAACTTTTTTATGTCTTTAACTAGTCTTTAAACTTTATGTTTCAAAAAGTTTCATTATATTTAAAAAAAATGATAAGTTGCCTATTATTTTTTCATTTACTAATGCAATTCCATTAGGGCTCATACCAAGCCAAGGCCATTTTGGATTAATAATAAATCCTCATTTTGTTAATGATATATTTTTCATATTTTCATATATTTTTATTGTGGTATTTTCATTTATTTTACCCCATTTACAAGCTTTGTTGAAAAAGTTGTTTTTATTGTTTTATTTTTTCAAAATATATTTAAAATGGAGACAGGGAACATACTTTTTTGACTATTAATAACAAAGCCAAAGTTTGAAGATGTTAAGCGTTTTTTCTTTTTTTTGTGCCACAGATTTGTAGATTGTGGAAAAGTAGCTTTTTCCATATTCTTTATTCTCTTTTTGGATAGAAAAATGTTTTGAAAGAAACATTGATTAGGTTTTATCTGATTTAAATGAGTCACTGGGTTCTACTTCAAATATATTAGTTACTAGGTATCAACGAGATTTAATATATTATCAGATTTAAAATTTAGGAATTTTTACTGATATGCAGATACTGATGTTTCATAATAAAATGTGCAATGATAAATATTTCCTTATAAAAGATTTGCAAATGCTATTTCTTCTCTCAGATTATATAAAGTATCAGACAGTTTTTTAAGTTTTTCATCGCTTATGTGTAAAAAAGGTTGCACAAAAGTCTTTATTTCCTTATACAAAAATTATGAATTGTTAGAATCTTTTTATAAGTTACTCATTTTAAAGTAAACCTTAGAAAGCTTATTTGGATCTGAGTTTTTTTCTTCAGCAGGAATATTACTATAAAATTTCTGTGCATGTTTTATGAAATGGTATAGTGTTTAAACTTAATCGTTTATATTTATTTAATTGAAATAATACTGCTGCAACATGCTTGCATCCTCCCATATCCAGAATTGGCAAAAAAACCCAACCCAAAAAAACCCACCTTAAAAAATCCCAATAAAACCCAAAAAAAACCCAAAATGTATTTGGGTTTTTTTAAAAATGACCTATTTTACAACTGATAACTCTGATTTTAACACTTATAAATGCTTTATTATCACCAAGTGCAACCTTTATACTGTAATTACTTTTGTAAACACTGTATTTATATACATAATGGTCTTTAGGATATACCCAAAATCGATCAATCTGTTTTTGTAGCAAGTTGGTTATTTATTATTTTTTTAAAACATTTAGCAAGTTATTATAAATGTTATTGAAATATGTATTAAACATTAAATTAGTTAAATACTTATAAAGGAAATAAAAATCATTCTATTAACTAAATTTCAAGACATTACTAGTTATTTAGTATCTTTATTCTCCTCTCAAATGTCTGTATTCTTTTATATTGGTATTTGATTTTTTATTTTTTAAAGCTTATGTTGTAAACTGCAAAAAAAAAAAAAAAAATACTAAGCCACAAGCAAAATATTATATATAAAAATTAAACTTTATTTACAGTTTAGAAATGGAAAGTTGTCAGGCAAAAAAAAATGCTACAGTTTACTAGATTTGTCCTTCAGTGCATACAACTTTAAAACTTAAAAAAAATTAAGTTATGTGCAAGCAAGCTTGCAACATGTTTGCTCATTCAATGAGAGAACATGTTGAAAACTTGCATGCAATTCACAAGGACAAGATTTGTTGGTAAAAATGACACTCGTGCTCATCTGTCTTTTGAATATTTAACAGGTTTTGAATATTTTGCATCAGCTACAAGTTTACAACATGTACCACCAACAGGGGTGACTATGAACAGCGGGTTGAAAATTAACATCAGTATCAAGTTGCTAAAAGGTGAAGAAACACACACAATAGAGCTATATAATGTGTTACTTTGATTCAGTTTGCAATTTGCATTGCAAAACTGAGCCGGTAAAACATCTTCAAGGAAAAAAAAAAACTTGGTGGCGAAGACACTGTAATGGTTCTTTACAAATTTACTTTATATATATTTAGAAACAAAGTTTAGGCAAAAATCCATTTTTTGCCAGTCCAGTTGATCAGGCCGATAACTTTTCCAAGAAGCTAGACAGTATAATGTTCTGATAAAAAAAAATGTAGTTATTAGGCTAGCAGTTTTCTTCTATGATACAAAAATGTTTAAAAAGTGTTCATAGTCATCCTGATTGATAATAACTTATACGGTTGCAACATCGTGTTGCAAACTTGTTGATTACATGTTGTAAACTTGTGCAAAGTAGTTTTTGAACATGTTAGTAAAAAAAACTAGTTTGCAACATTTATATTGTCTTACCAACTTTGAATAACTCAATTGTCATAACTTTTACACTGATTTTTTTTTAGTCAAAAATATTCTGAACATGTTTTTAATTTAGAGCAATTAATTAACATCATTTATAGTTGATGGAGTCCCTTTTTGCACTACAGGTAAAATGTGCTAGTAGACTAGTAGTAAAACATTTGGCTGGCAACCAGAAGGTTGGGGTTCAAATTACCTCTGTCTATTTCGTCTCAATCTATTTCTCCACACAGCGCCTTTGTTTAAAAATTTTAGTTGGTAATGTTGTTTGTTAGTAAAAATGGTAATGTTAAGGATTGAGACAAAATATTTTTAAAAAATGAGTTGCACCCTTGACTGAAATGGTCATTGGAGCAATAGGAAGGTGAATTTATAAAATTAAAAAAAAAATTATTGTACTCATACAATTATAAAAATTTGGTATTTTGATCGATTTTTAAAAAAACCCAAAAAATCCATAAAACCCAAAAAAACCCATTTGGGTTGGGTTTTTTTAAAAAACCCTGGGTTTTTTCCAACCCTGCCCATATCAGCTCTACATTTACATTTAGTGTAAAACATCTTTTTTTTTTTTTTGACAAAGATGAACTTAAACAAGGTACTGATTTTTTTTTGTTGAAGCTGAAACTCTAGCTTTAATCAGAAAATAATTTATGTCAATATTGACGTTTGGTTTAAATACTAAATTTTTAACAAAGTTTTCTTAGAACACCTGATAACCAGAAATAGATGTGCTTTAAAGCACATCTAGTTCTGTAACTATCGTCTATAATTAAGTACTTGTGTATTTTTTCTTGACTTATATTAGGAAGCAAGGAAAGACATCAGAAAAGACCATGAGTTTATTTGCTATTGTACAATTTATTCAGCATATCCAATTCTTATATTTAACTGACTAGTTATTTCTCAAAATTCTTGTTGCAAAGTAATTAAAATGTTTTTAAAAAAACATTGATTGTCATCAATAACATTTAAATCATTTAAATCACAAATTACTTTTTATATACTGTATTTATTTCTGACACGATAATATTTGTTTATTTTTGGTGAATATGAATACCAAAATGCATTGCGGTTATTTCTTATAGAGGAAATAGTCCATTGATAATTTTGAATTTATTAAAAAAAATCATTCGCTGCAATAACTTCTCATTGGTGGGAAAAAAATACAAAAAAAAAAGAATAAATGATAAAAAAAAGTACAGTTTGGAAGAGAAAATGTTCTCAGTAACATGCAAAAATTAAAAATAATAATTTTATATTTCTGATTTTAATGAGCTGATACATGAATAGTTTTTTATCTCTGTTCATTTTAAAAACTTGTAAAATTAGTTATTAACACTCATGAAACTTTTTGAACAAGACAATTGTTTTACTACAAAAGTTGCTAGTAAAACAAGAAAAGTGAACCAAACAAAATAAAAAAAAAATGATAGTTTACATCATATATTTGTCAAAGAAACTAAATAAAGTAGCATGTTGTAAACAATAAAACTATTTTAAATAAAGTAGCATGTTGTAAACAATAAAACTATTTTAAATAAAGTAGCATGTTGTAAGCAATAAAACTATTTTAAATAAAGTAGCATGTTGTAAACAATAAAACTATTTTAAACGGTCAAAAGGTCAAAATAACAGTTTTAATCTTTTAGGGCAATTGTTGACCGTTGACAAACCGTTATTTTTCATGTAATATATATATGCATATATATATTATATATATATATATATATATATATATATATATATATATATATATATATATATGCATATACATATATATGGAGTTAAGTTATGCAATAATTACGTTATAGGGAATACAATAGTTCTTAAAATGCTCTTTCTGTACTACAAAAAAGGAAAGGTTTGCAAAATTCAATATGCAAAATTAGCTATGGAAAAAACTGATTTTCACTTATTTTTACAAATTGCTTGTTAATATACTATGATTTTTGAAATAAATTTCTTGAAAAAATGCTCTTTCTTCTTTTAAGGTTCTTCCCATATTTGTGCATGATAAACTGAGCCAGCAGTCAGGTATCAGTCAGTTCTTAGTGGAATTAAGCATCTAATTCTATTCAGTGATAGCCTTTTAGGGCAAAACAAAAATCATATATGGTGAATTTCTTGATGAATCATAATGATATAGGAATATTTAAAACTATTTGAACTACTTACCAGTCAGGGGTCACTCATTTTTACACTGTGTAAAAATGTACGAATTGTAAGAAACTGTACACTGTAAGAATTCACCTGCATCAAACATGCTGTTTCAAGAGTTGATAGAGTTTACACACTAAATGCATGTTAAGATAATTTTTAAATCATGTAAAAATCAGGGCGCTTTAATATTCACCAAGTCCTCTTATTCCCACCCCCCTTGTATTAAGAACTCAAGAGTAACAAACAAGATGATCTAGGCGTTTTATACATATTGGCCACAATTTTACTAGTAGACTGCCAACTCAGATAAAACTTATGGGAGGGGAATTTGAAAAAGGGATTTTTAAAGTATTCACAAACAAAGAATTTTATTGCAACAAAACTGACCAATGAAAAGTTGTTACTAAATACTTTATTGACTGTTACACCTCCTTAATATTGGCATGCTGGTCTACTCCATAAGCTCTCCTTTTATGCTGAATCAGGTGTATCAGGTAACATCTTTAAGATAGTTGAACCATTCCTTACCAATTGTAGTATAAAAGTCCTTAATAAACAGCACTCTTCTATATATTCTGTAACTGGGGTTCCTTAAGGTTCTGTCCTTGGGTCTATACTCTTTTTAATTTACATTAACGTTTTCCTAGAATTTCTCACATCTAAGATGGCTTTGTTTGCTATTGGTAGCACTATACATTAATTTAAGATTGCGTAAAGGAGGCATTTGAGCTTGAAAAGAATCTCATTACTGCCAGAGCATGGGGCTTTCAGCTACTGGTAAACTTTAACTCAGATGAAACTTTTTTTTCAGCCAATCATTAACGCATTAATCTAGATCTTTCTATATTTATAAACAGTAATGCACTTTATGAATCACCTGCCCTTCATCTTCTAAGATTATTTCTTACTGCCAATCTTTCTTGAAAGTAAGAAATAATCTTAGAAAATGAAAATCTTTCTTTTTAGCATCTGCTATGGTTGCATCTCTTAATTGTGTTTGCCAATTTCAACTCAGGATTCTATTCTTTATCGCTACAAATCTCAAATCTGTCCTTGTATAGAATGTCAGGTTAGGTTTATCCTGCTACTGGTAACATGTAACCCAGTACAATCTGCTTCATGTTCTGTTGCCTTGTAGGATACAAGGCAGTAGAACATGAAGCGGATTGTACAACATACCTGTTATAGTCTTGCTGAACAACATACCTGTTATAGTCTTGCATAAGTGTTCTACGGACCTGTCGTCTATCCTTTCAAAACTATCAAGTGCTTATCAGAATCTTGTTTTCCAGCCTGTTGGAAAGCAGGATCTGTTATCCCTATTTTCAAAAATTCTGGAGAGCGATCTGATTCATCTGACTACTGTCCCATTAGTCTCTTTCCTATCATTAGCAAGGTTTTTGAATCTTTAATTAAAAAATGCTTAATCTCTCATCTTGAATCTAATAACTTATTTTCTCATCATCAATATGGATTTTGATCTTCTTGTTCTACGGCTGATTTGCTAACAGTAATAACCGATAGATTTTATCGTGCATTAGATAAAGGTGGAGAGGTTAAGGCCATCTTTATCAAACATTTCTAAAATGTTTGATAATGTTTCTTCTCCATAAGCTTCCTTCTTACGGTGTATTTGAAAACATCTTCAAGATTATTGAATCCTTTCTTTCCAATCGTAGTATAAAAGTTGCCTTGATGGACAGCACTCTTCTTATTCTGTAACCTCAGGGGTTCCTCAAGGTTCAATCCTTGGCCCTATACTCTTTTTAATTTACATTAACAATCTTCCAGATATTCTCACATCTAAGATGGCATTGTTCGCTGATGATACTACCATTTATTCTTGTCACAATAAGAAGCCAACTCCCTCTGATTGCTTGCAGGAGGCATCTGAGCTTGAAAAGGATCTCACTTCTGCTACAGCATGGGGCTCACAGTGGCTGGTGAACTTTAATATGCGATAGTGGTGTAGTGGTAAAACACTTGCTTCATAAGCGAGAGGTTCCGAGTTCGATTCTCACCACTTCCCTGGTAGTACCCTGCTCAACTTGTTTCTCCGTGCGGCGGCCTTGTTCGTCAAGGTTCGTGTTTCGGAGTTATAGAGTTGAGAGAGGGTTATAACCACTATTAAGTAGCCTCCTCGTCTGTAGTGGCATTCTCGGCCTTGAGAAGGTGAATAACAAAAAAAAAAAAATTCAGATAAAACTCAATTTTTCAGGCAATCGTTATCACAATAATTTAGACCTTCCTATATTTATGAATGGTAATGTACTCGATGAGTCATCTACCCTTCATTTTCTGGGATTGACTCTTACTTTTGATCATTCTTGGAAACCGTATATCAAATCCAAATTAGCATCTGCTTAATTTGCACCTTTTTATTGAGCTTGACACTTTCTTACTCTGGATTCTATTCTCTATCTCTATAAATCTCAAATCTGTCCTTGTATGGAATACTGTTGCCATATCTGGGATGGATCTTCTAATGATGCCCTTTCTCTTTTAGACATGGTGCAAAAACGCATTGTAAACATAGTTAGACCTGCTCTTGCAGCCAACCTCCAACCATTATCACACTGTTGCAATGTTGCTTCTCTTTCTCTTTTCTACAAATAATATAATGAGCACTGCTCTAAAGAGCTAGCGTCTCTTGTGCCATCTACTAAAATTTATTCTTATGTTACTCGTCATTCAATTAAATCTCATTCTTTTTCTGTTACTGCTCCTAAGTGCTCCAAAAACTCTTATTCGTCTAGTTTTTTTCCTCAAACATCAGTTCTTTGGAATTCGCTTCCTTCATCTTGCTTTCCTGATTCATATAATTTGCGATCTTTTAAGTCATCTGCCAATCGTTATTTTACTTATTCTTCATCTTTTCTTTTCCAGTAGCAACACTAATTAGTGGTTGCTTACAGCCTTGTTGGAAGCAAAGATGTTTAAAAAAAAAAAAAAAAATTTAAATGTTTTTTTTAATGTTTGTTGTCTAAGTAACATAAAAAAAATAAAAAGTGTAATTCTTAAAATTTTTTAAAGTTTTATAAAGCTTGTGTAACATGTGATTTATTTTCTTTAATAATATTTTTTGTTTGTTTAGAGTTTTCACAAAATGGTTATGAGCAGGGTTACAGTGTTTGGTTTATCTGTGTCACTTATTACATTGCTACTTTCGTTTTTTTCATTTGTCTTTATAAAGTAAGCAGATTATAAGTTTTAAATTAATAGTCATAATTTATTTTTAAATTTTTTAAAATAATTTATTAATGAGAAATATGGTGGTGACTAGTGCAATGACATATTTTAAATATACTACATTTACAAAATAATCTATTTAAAGTAATACAAAATTTATTTATATTTTATATATATTTATTTATTTATATTTAAAAATGCAAATTTAAAGTACTTAATCATCATATAATAATCATAACATATTCTATCTTTATTTGATTTAAAAACATTTTATGTATATTTGTTTAAAATAGTTTTTAAAATTATTTTTTATATTTCCTTAGAAAAATCAAATCAATTCGAAATACTATTCATAAAAATATAGTGTTTGGGCTATTTATGGCAGAGTTAATTTTTATATTTGGAGTTGACAAAGTAGAAAACAGAGTAAGTCTACCAAATGTAACAAATTATCAAGTCTTATTAGTTAATTAACATATTTTATGTTGTTTTTTTTATTATTATTATTAGATAGGCTGCCAAGTAATAGCAGTGTTCCTGCATTATTTTTTCTTATCAACATTTTTTTTAATGGCGTTTGAAGGAGTGGTCCTATATTTTATGCTTGTTCATGTGTTTGGAATGCATGGTAAAACATCTGATCATGTCTATAAACATGTTGTAGCATGTTGGGGTAAGCTTTTATGTTAATTTTTAAATAACTTTTAATAATTAAACAGTTTAACTTTGTAATTGTATGTCATGTCTGTATTTCAGTTTAATTTTTAATATTACATAAATTAATATTACAATTTTTAATATTACATTTTAATATTAATATTATTATATGATTTTTTATCTGATAAATTTTTATTTGATTTTGTGAGAATATTTATATAATATGTTTTTTTTTAACAAGAATAGAATAAGTATTATGTTGAAAATTGATTATAGTAATTATAGCAGTTGCTATTGTTACCTAGTTACTCTAGTATTATTTAATTAAGTTTGTTATAATTAAGTTATATATAATGACTTTAATGTAGAACTTTAAGGGCAAAATAAATGTTATATTGCTATGTTATAAAAATATACAACATATATGTTAAATGCCATGTAATAAAATTTATTAAATTATATATCTATAGTTTTACCAGTTTTGGTTGTTATTATTAATCTTGCAATTGACCAAAAGGCTTATGGAAAACATAAGGATCAGTAAGTTTGATTCAAAAATTATTTTAATAAATAATAAGTTCTCTTTATTTCTATCAGGTAATTCATAATTATTTTCATCAACTTATTTTTATAATTATTTTAAGCAAAAGCTCCATCAACTTAAATTGAAATAAAATTTTATATACAGAAATAAAGTTTAAATAAAGAAATATTTTTTTTAACTTTTTTTCATAAAAAAAAAAAAGTAATTATTAAGTAAATAAATAAAAAATGTATATATATATATATGTATATATAAATAAATATATGTAAATCTGATGCAACGTTCATGAGATCTGTTAGATTTAGTAAAAGTTAACTAGCCCTGCTCTACTCTATATCATCATATATTGGAATATTTAAAAGTTTTCTTGCAAGAGCTCATAAATTATGCACTAGTAATTATATAGAAAAAGAAATTGATTTCTTAATATTTTTATAATGGATATTCTTGGCAACAACTTCTAGACATTGTCAAACATCACAAACCATCCCAACCAAACGCCCGCCAACAAATTAACATAAATAATATTATATATAATATAATAGAAAGCTGTATTAGTTCAAAATTACGAGTGAAATTAATAGTAATTAATTTCACTTTGACAGCATATACATTGTGTAGTTATTCTAGGTAAAGAAATTAAATTATAAATTACAAATCATATAGGTCTAGATATTTATCAATGCAAGTTTTGAATAAGTTTAAGCTTTCACTTTTGATGAGAAAATCTGGTCCACATTGATGTGACTCAATTAGTTAAATTGATGACAAGTTTGATTTTTGCAGTTTTTAACTATTGATTGATTGCAGTTTTTAACTTTCTTTTCTAATTTTGAAATTATGGCTCCTGATAATAGCTTCTGATTTTAAAGTTATGGCCCCTTGTGTTGGGCTGATATGAGGCAAAAATATTACAATTTAGTTCTACAATATTTTTTTTTTAAATAGTTTGTACATTTAAATTAAGTTGCCTCTTTTACGTCTTTTTTTCCAGTGTGCTTAAGCCAAGTATTTTAATTTTTGTTCTGTAACTTTGTTTTCGAATTCGGGGTATCCATTTAGTGGTGTTGTTAACTTTTTCAAGTGCAATAATATCTCTTTTAATGTATGGGCACCATAATACAAAGCCTATTCAGTCGGGCATAATTCCATAGAACTCATTGTAATTTTATCACAAAGCACTCAGGGATGTCCTGCCGGACCTCGGAATTTTATAATATTAAATAGCGAATATTTATTTTTGTATGTAGCTTTAAAGAATTTTGATCTTAGTTATAACAGTGCTATCATTTTGTGCTGTTATAAACTGTAAAGATGTTTAATTTTTTTGTTTTCCTAAAGACGACAAAAGGCAAGCTAATTCATATATTATTTATAATAACTATTTTTTTCATAAAAAGTTAATAAAAATATTATTGTATTATTTTAAAACATATTCTTTAATTGTTTAATTTATAGATGTAAACAGTAAGTCATCAACTGTCGTAGGAAAGATTTAGACAAAAAAGATTTTGTATTTTTAAACAAAAACTTTTATTTGTGCAGTAATCTTTTTGAAAATACAATGTATTATTCTAAAAAAATGGTGGAAAGCGTTTGTTACAATCAGCAACTCCTACTATTTTTAACATCCCAAATCCTCCTCCACTTCTTGGTTGCAAAAGGAAACCACCAATTGAATGTCATTCAGTTCCAGTAAAAAAGCAAGTTGTTTGTTTACCTTTTCAGGTAAACAAACAACTTGCAACAAATATAACTCCCTAAATGGCTTTTTTCATGGATTGCATCGTACCTACAGACCAGATATCAGTGAATTTATACTAACAGCATAGCAACAGAATGGCAACCTGTGGAAGCTGGAGTCATCCAAGGCAGTGCACTCAAACGATATATTTAACTGCAATACTGAACTTTTCATATTTTCTGATGACACCCTTGCATACATTGTTGGAGACCTAGCCCACTTATTTTTTATTTCATAAAATTTTTAAACAGAGACATAAACCCATGCATAAGTCAAATGCAAAAAAAATTGCATGTATTCTTCATAATTAATATATTATGATACTATTTTTTCAATTTTTCTTTTTTGTTGTTGTAACAAGATAATAACTTTAAAAAAGATTTTTTATGTTTTTTGTTATTACAAGAATTTTTTATTTCATAAATTTTTTATTTCATAAAATCCACCCAATAAATCAATTTGCAAGTTCAGAAATATTGTACGTATTGTATTGTCCTTTGATATATTATGATATTATTTTTACAATTTTGTTCTTTGTAATGAGACTTTTTAATGTTATAATGTATAATATTAATAACTTTGGTTGATGTATAATGTTAGTAACTTTTATGTATAATAATATACTTTTATGTTCTAAAATAGTTACACTAACTTTATGTTCTACAAAACTTTTTTTGTTCTACAAAACCTTTTTTCCATATTTCATTCGTATTGAATCATTCTAATGGTAATCTTAACAAAATTGATGTATCTTAATGTTACAAAATTGAGATATCTTGAATAAAAAATTGAGATATTTAGCAACAAAGTTTATTAATTAAAAAAAAAAACTATTTGTGTTTGTTGCGGAAGAGGTCTGACAGGATATCCCAGAATGCAATTTTGATCAATAAACAGGAGTTTCGCGAAGTGGATAGGCTTTACCATAGTATTTCCGTGGGTTCCTAAATTAAGCCTTATTCTTAGATGTGAGTTTCAAAAAGTTGGTATAAAAACAGTTTTTTGTTTTGGAAAATCTGAACATATAATGCCAAAATAAATCAAAGCTACCACCAAACAGTTACTTGGGTGTTTACCAACTTGAATGTACATGTTTTTTATGTGGTTGAAACCAGGAAAAAGATTAAAACACGAATAGCTGAACATTAAAAAAACATGACTAAACCTGGAAAGTGTCTGGAATTGTTGAACATGCATATCATTGCAAAGGTGTAATTAATTGGAATAATTCTAAAACACTTTTAAATAAGCAATCAGGGTTTAAATTTTTTTTTTTTTTTTTTAAACATCTTTGCTTCCAACAAGGCTGTAAGCAACCACTAATTAGTGTTGCTACTGGAAAAGAAAAGATGAAGAATAAGTAAAATAACGATTGGCAGATGACTTAAAAGATCGCAAATTATATGAATCAGGAAAGCAAGATGAAGGAAGCGAATTCCAAAGAACTGATGTTTGAGGAAAAAAACTAGACGAATAAGAGTTTTTGGAGCACTTAGGAGCAGTAACAGAAAAAGAATGAGATTTAATTGAATGACGAGTAACATAAGAATAAATTTTAGTAGATGGCACAAGAGACGCTAGCTCTTTAGAGCAGTGCTCATTATATTATTTGTAGAAAAGAGAAAGAGAAGCAACATTGCAACAGTGTGATAATGGTTGGAGGTTGGCTGCAAGAGCAGGTTATTAAGCTTATTATTAAGTTTATTAATTAAGTATTTATCACGATCATGAATAGTGATTGCTTTTCACTCCTTCATGATTAGTTGTTGTTTTTTTATATATATTTTTGAAATTTTTTTTTAAACTTTTTTTATTAGATTTTAGCGTTTTTAAATGTATTTGCTGTATTTTGTGCTTTATTTTGATACAGCTTGCATGCAGTAATGGTACTATGAATCAAGTGGCTTAGTCCAATGCTTCAGTATATTGTTACTAGTAATTTGCTATGAAAGCCTAGTTTTTTTAGACTTTCAATTAGGTAATGAACTGAGGAGAATTTGGGTTTGATGCGATGTCATTGTTGGTCAGTGTTTATTTCAATATTTAAATCTAATCCTAAGTATTTATATGAGGTTAGATATTTGAGAGCTTTGGAATTGATGGAAACAATTGGTGGTGGGCGTGTATCGAGTTTGTTACTAGGTATGCTCATGATTTTGCATTTAATAACAATGTGTTTAATAACATTTTGTTTTTGTAGCACCAGTTATTAACTTTGTTGCACATTTCCTATGGTAGGGTTGAGTGGGCTAGGTCTCCAACAATGTATGCAAGGGTGTCATCAGAAAATATGAAAAGTTCAGTATTGCAGTTAAATATATTGTTTGAGTGCACTGCCTTGGATGACTCCAGCTTCCACAGGTTGCCATTCTGTTGCTATGCTGTTAGTATAAATTCACTGATATCTGGTCTATAGGTACGATGCAATCCATGAAATAAGCCATTTAGGGAGTTATATTGTTAATTTGGTAAGAAGAAGCTCACGATCAATTATGTCGAAGGCTTTAGCAAAGTCAAAGAATATTGCAATTAAATTTTTTTTTTTGTCTTTAGCAAAATGCCTGTCTTCTATGACACATTGTGCTTTTACCTGGTAGGAACCCATATTGTTGTTTTTTAAGATAATGTGAGTATGTTGGATAATAAATTTGGCGACAACTCTTTCTAATGTCTTGCAGAGGTGGGATGTAAGTGAGATTGGACAGAAGTCTAACCAGTTACTTGGGTTTGGTAATTTAGCGATAGGTGTTATGTTTGCAAGTTTCCATTGATAAGATGTAAATGAGTGAGACAAACAATTGTTAAACAGAAGACTTAAAATATTGGAAATTTCAAGACAACACATTTGAATAGTTTTGGGGAGATATACACCTTTTCAAGATGTAAATGAGAATATGAAAGTTGTAATTAAGAAGTCGTAATATGTAATTAAGAAACACAACATGTAATTGAGAAAACGTTATATGTAATTGAGAAACACAACATGTAAATAAGGAGTCGTAACATGTAATTAAGAAACACAACATGTAATTGAGAAAACGTAAGATATAATTGAGAAATCATAATATGTAATTGAGAAATCGTAACTTGTAATTGAGAACACATAAATTAAAATAGCAAATTCACAGTCTAAGTTTGTAGGTTGTTACAAAAGGTCTTTTTGGACATGAATTTAAGTTATAATCTTAAATTTTGCTTTTGTATGCACAAGTAATAATAATGGAATTGAAAGATCGTTGTGTTTTATGCCAA